GACACAGTACTCCAGTTGTGGCCTCACCAGTGCAGAGTAGAGGGGGAACCAGTGCAGAGTAGAGGGGGAAGACCGGATCTTTCCAGGGAGCAACCAGAGGGGAGACTAAGAAGTAAGGGTGACAAAGATGCAGAATAAATCTTAAAAGAAAGTGTTAGTCCTTGGGTTTGACTGGCAGAATAAATTTACTTTGCTTCAGAAATTTCATGCAAAGCCAAAAAAAAAAAAAAAAGGTGAACAAAGCAAGTAAGATTGCATTTGATAGTCTTCAATAAGGTAACTGTGCGTTTTAATATCCAGAAATCTTACAACTAATCCTCATTTAGGCAAGGATGAGTCATTTGTATCAGTGTTTCCTGCAGTTTTACTGATATCAAGAAATCCTGGTAAGGTGCAAGGGCTTTTTCAGTGCTGAGTGTTCCTGGAGGAGCAAACTCTGACAGGGAAAGCAAGGACAATCTTCCTTCTCAGCCTGAAGGCTTGCCAGCGCCACAGCCCCTTGTGAAAACTGGGAAGCAGCAATGCACTGCCAAGCCCGACTTGTTTCCTAGCAAAACTAAGATTCTTCATTAGTTGTGTCCTTGATGAATTCCTGTTCTGTCTGTAGGGTGTTAAAATTGAAATCCAGGGCTCACACGAACTGGCAACGCTCTGTTTTAATTTCCCAGGGCCGGGGTTGGGGGGAGTGCTGACAGTGAAGAAGCAATAAGTGATGAGTAGATGAGCACAGAGAAATTCATGTCCTGATGTCCTGCCTCAGTTCTCTCCACAAGAGGCTGCAAGGTTGATTCATTTTATAACACCAACCTTTTTTAGCCCAAGTGCTTGCAGTTAGCATCCTAAAACCACACGTTACCTCCAGCAATGAAGAATTCGATCTTCTAATCGAATAATGTAATCTGCTTTTGAAAGCATGGAACTAAACATAATTAACACTCTCCTCTACAAAATAACTGTTAAAACATGGTAATGCCTTTGCAAAGTAGAAATCCACATTAAAAAGCTCAAATATTGAGATTTCAAATAGCAATTCTGCCCCCTGCACACCAGTTATCACCACGTCTACTCACTGTAACTCTTACTGGCAGCTGTATTCCTCAAGTTTCTTATCTTGGTAGGCCAGAACCTACACAACTTCCTCTGGATTTAGCTGGAGTACTGCGTGTTACTGCCATTTTCCCAGAAAGGAAATATCTTGACAGACATATTTATATTAAACAGAAAGCTTTTCTTCTACCAAAAAAAAATCCCCACAAAACCCTGGTTTACTTAAAACATTTTTAAAAACACTGCTCTCTCTTTCAGCAATTAATATAATTTATCTTCAAATCTCTTTGGCTTTGAGGTGGACTCAGTTCTGGTCTCCACTTTTTGGGAAAGGCTCACATTGGCTGTAACAGATCTTTTCGTGTGATTATAATGTTTTAAAAGTTAAAAATAAGCTCCTGCTGCTCACACTGTTCCCTTGAGACCGGCATTAAACACTGTCACGGCTGCTCACATGCATTTAAAAAGGATTTGTGCAAGTAATTTCAAGCAGTAGTTCCTCCTTATTGTTATAGCAGCATATTTGATGGGCCTGGGAGTCTCATCCAGCAACAAAACCGAGTGCAGTGAAATCGTAAGGCTAAAACTCCTGCCAGCTCTGGATCTGTTTGACAGACCCTTCTGGGCATGATGCTTGCTCACCCAGCACGTTTCTGTGCCCAAAAGCAGGCGGGAACTTTGTCTGGTGTGACACATTCTGTTAGATGACACCAGCAAGTCACCTCCAGTGAGGCAGGACCCTCTTTGCCAGCCAGGGTCTCTGCTGAATTTACAAAATTGCCAGGGTGTGAGAGGCATGAACCGGTCACGGCTGCTGCTTCCTCTTTTGCCCAGTTTGAGATGAAAACACTGACACTTTTCCCCCTTACTTGCTTGTGGTCTGGAGATGACTTTGCTTCCTCTGCTGCCTCTGGGTAGCCCCCTGTTCTGGTTGGCAGACGTGCTCACCCAACACGAACACCAGCCAGCGCTGGGCAAACACTCTGCCTGCCAGGGAGAGGCAAGAGGGTCCGGTACTGCACCACATCAGCCCCACAGCCTCCAGGCAGCCCAGAGCTTACTCTTTTGCTTTAGCTGAGGTCAATAGTACCAGAGCATGTGCTTCCCAGCGCACACGCGTTTAAGAGCTGTGATTTACCAGTGCTTAAAACAGTGTAATCCACTGGCCAAGACAGGCTTGAATTCAGGTAGCCGAAAGATCTAGTCTGGAGGAAAGGAGACGTAAAGTTAACAGCTAAGAACATTGAAAATTAATTTTAAGACATATCTGCATATTGCTTGTATAGCAAGGATTTGGAAACAAAAGCTATGGATGAAAGGAGCAGATGTTTTATCCTGGTGATGTTTCATCCTGGTGATGTTTCCTATCTGAAGAGAAGAAGATTCCTTCCGTACCACAAGAAACATTTCCAGGCTGCTAAGTTTACACAGAAAGCATCACCATGCAGTGGTTTCTGACACAAGCAACGTGCCCAGACAGAACATGTTTTTTCCCACCTCATGACACAGGGAAACCAAACGCGGTTACAATCTGTTTGCATTTTGAGAAATCCAGGACACTCAGGCTTAACACATGCTGAACAGTCATGAAACTTGTTTTAAGAGACACTAGCAGTTATATAAAAGTAGTTTTTTAATGCTGGTTAAGTAGTTTATAGGCAGAGGTTTTTCTGCAAGAGAAGTAGCTGGAGTGGAGAATATTTTTGGAATTTATTTTCCAAAAATAAAAGCCAGATTTTTTCCAGGTCTTCCAGGTCTTCCCATATCCAACTAACATTTGTTCCAATAGTGTCATTTAATATTTACTCTCATCTCAATGTCTTTGCAGCTTACAAAATTCTTAAATGTTTTAAGCATAAAAGCCTTTCTCCAAACCCTTTGTGCCTGGAAGTACTTCCACTTCCGTCTAGTCTAATAAAAGCTGTTACCTCTTGTTACTGATCTTCCTTCCTCATATCCTTTGGGCATCACACAACAACAACGCCACTGCAAATTGCACAGCTAAAGACACCTTACAAGCGTTTTCAACTGCAAGTTGTACACCAAAAAAAACCCCCTTGTATTTCAGAGAAAAGATATTTTTTTGTGTGAAAAACAGGTCCCAAGGGGTAGCATCAGGTCCTATTGGCCAGACCTACTACAGCCCACTGGCTGAATTGCATTCTGCGTCTCCCAAAGAAGAATATGAATATCCATGTATTAGTGGATTTATGAGCCCTGTGCCTTGGTTCCACCGCTGAGGTGCGTTGCCACTCAAATGGCTGTATCTATAATAGCATTATAGTTCAGGTCAGAAGTACACCTTTGAAGGAAATTTCCTGGCCATTGCCCCTTGCAGTGCCTCATTCCTCATCGCAGGGCAGGCTGGGAGTGCACCAACATCATTCCTTTTGGAGGACAACATCGCTCCTTCCGCACGCCGCCACACCAGGAGATCCTTCCGCAGCAAGCCATGGGCATCCAGTCCACAGGGCCAAGCTGCTGTCACAGGAAAGCCCCCACGAGGCTCCAGAGGTGGGCACCACCACCTCAGCACCGGTTGCTTTGCCCTAAAGCCACTGGGGGTGGGGGGGCTGCCAGGGCCACCCCAGCTGCCCCCCTGCCTCCCGCCGGGCTGTACGGCGGGGGAGGCCAGCACCATGGCAGGGAACTGGTGCCCAGATTGCCATCTCTTGCAGGTGCCCTTGCCACCTGTGGGAGCTCTAACTTGGCAGCTGCCCACCAGAGGGATTTTCCGCATCACAAAGCTAGGTGGGATTTTGTTGCTTTTACCTGTTTCCCTGGTGTTTGAGAAGAGCTGTTCTTCCTACAGCTGGATCTTGTTACGGTCCCGAGCTTAACTCCTGGCGGTACTAGTAACACCAGTTGTCCTCCCCGGAGACTGGCAGTGTGGGAGCTGTTTTGCAAGAACTATGGGCTGAGCCCTTTCAAAAGCCATTTGTTAGATTGTGTAACCCTTTGTTTAATGCGTTTAGTGTTTCCTTCTGAGAAGGGAATACGTTCTTCAGCTTAGAAAAAGGTGATGATTCTTGAGCGCTAAAAGTGAGCTGCTGCACCAGCAGGAAAGCCAGGCGTAACTGCACGACCCTTCTGCTGGGGTCCCAGGTGGGAGACGTGACAGGGTAAGACACTGTGTTTGCCAGAAAATCACCTGCTTGCCAGGGAGGCATTTCTCACCTCTCCAGGACCCCACAGGGAATGGAGATGGTCTGGCCAGGAGCTCAGCACCACTCGCAATAGGGACGAGACCCAGTAAGACACGGTTTTTTTCCCTAGACTTTTTGTACTTACACATAACATCCTATGCTCATTATGTCCCTGGTGACTTCTTCAGTCTTAACATTTCACTGTAGGATGGGATGTGCTTTCAACATGAGTGCCAGTGAGAAAATTTATTTATTGGCAGAAGGGATTTTATAAACATGTTATGACATTTTTCTTCATCTGATTTATGCTGAGACATCCCAGACGCTTAAGGGCAGAAGTAAACTAGGATGCACACATACATTTTCTCTGCCAGCAGCACCCGATTTTCACAGGAGCATGAATAAAGAGACATTTCTAGATAAGAAGTGGAAAATTCTTTCCTCTATCTGAAGTAATTTAAAGCACTCTTTTTATGCTATACTCCCAGCCTTCCTCATCATTTGATAGTGTTGTTAGCATTGCTTTAGTGCTGATGATTGAAAGATAAAAGCAAATGTTTAATTTTGTATTTCTTCTCTCTAGTAATACTTCAAGATACTGCTCTGGGTGAAAAGACAAAAGTTGGTGGGATCTTCTGGCTAGCTTGCTGGTGGGCTAGGTTAGGCTAGGCTAGGCTGGGTGAGAAGCTGGGCTAATGGAGTGGAGATATTTGGGGTTATAAACTCCTTTCTCGGGAAGTGCAGTGTTGTTCCTGCTTCGTGCTACACACAGTGACGTCGTGGGGTGGAGGAAGAGGAAAGAGGAGGGGTGATCTCCTAGCAAACAGCTGTTGCAGCTGTAGAGAGGAAAAAGGAGGAAGATCGGGAGCAGCAGCAGCAGCCCGATCCCTGCAACAGGTAATATCCCTTCAGCACAGGTGACCTGGACTGCTCAAATGCAAAAAGGGGTGGGGGGGAAGCAGGGTGGGATGTGCACGTGAGAGAAAAGTGCATCTTTTGTGCTGGTTCTCAGCAGCTTTTTTCTCCCCCAGCTACAGCAGTTGCAGCTCGTCACAGGAGTGGGAGGGGGAAGGGGTAGAAGTTCAGACCGATATGACTTAAAAGGAAACTGTGTCAGCAGAGGGGCTTTTCTAGCAGACCTTTCTTGTAGGGAAAAAAAAAGGGAACCTCTCTGTCTGGTTTCAGCACGACGGTTGCTTCATCACGTGCGCAGGCGAAGGGAGCAGCGCGTAATAGCTGGGAAGGCAGGGAACTGCTCCCTGCACACAGGCTGGCTGGGACCCCCCCCCGCAGCGAGGGAGCTGAGGGTGGCCTTCATCCCAGCACCTCGCAAGGGACACCTGGCTGGGCCAAGGGCTGCCCTGAGCTGGGTGCCTCCTCTCTGCTACCTGTCACCCCAGCTCAAGGGGGACGTGGCCCTGACCACCCTTCAGACGTGGAGGGCACCCACCTCCACGCTCACCTCAGATGGTGGCCACCACAGAAACACACTGAAGACCTTCACGCTAAAAAGAATAAAATGCAACATTACGCTTCCATAATCCTTCTGCCTGTGGAAATACATCAGGCTCTGCAAGCTAAAACTATATCACTGGTAAAATCTCTGCTGGTGAATAAAAGGGAAAAGAGGGTGTTTGGGACCATACTGATGCTGCTGTGCCTGCTAGTTTTGAGTGGTCTTATGTTTCATCTGGTTTCCTAGGTTTGGAGCCCAGAGAGGAAGTAGATAAGAGTTTAAGCGAGGTTGATCCTGAATATGATAAATGCCTCCCTAGCATTTCGGTGTATTGGGTATGAAATCAGCCACAGTAAGTAACGTGGAACTGACAACTGAAACAACAGAGGGCAAGCCAGCCCAGCCTTTGAGATCTCTCTGCTGCAAGACCCACGTCTGCTTCTTTCTCCTGTCATCAGAGCAGGCAGAGTACTGAAATGTGCAGTGCTCCCCCATTCCTTGTAAATGAAAGCAACTTGAAGGTGTAAAAGCACAACACACGGAAAGGACTAAATGCAGCAGCAAGTCCGTTTCACAAAGCAGGCACCATGGAGGCTAAGTGAGGTGCGTAAGGCCAGCCAGCAAGTCTGGGGCAGGGTCAGGAGCTGAACACCCCTGACCTGGTGGATTGCTAGTCAGGGTTTTGTCTGGCAAGGGTGCTGCAGAAGCAGGCTCCGTGAGGTAAACGTGGAGTGATGCCTGCTGTGAATCCAGGGAAACAGGGAATCTAAGTAAAGGCCATCTCTTCTGCCAGCGACCTTTCAAATGGAAGTAGAGGGCTGAATTTTGTGTTGCCATACAAAACAGTTAGAACAGTGAAATGGGTTATCCTCGTTCTTCTTCCGGTTCTCTAGGTAGAGATCAGCCTTCGGGTGAAAAAGACCTTAGAGAACAGTTATATCAGTTTCCTCTGATTACATGCAAATCACCTTTTATTCTCTGTAGATTTCTTCACTTCTGTCAAAGGCTTCTCTCTGGTCTTAGGTACCTTTTGTGCAGGGATTAACACAGTGGGATGAAACCCCATTTTGAGACCACGGTTTGTTCCTTCACACAGTGGAGAGCATCACCAAGTGAGGCAGCTGTGCTGCTCGCAGCTCTAGGGCTGGGATCAGTCTTCCAGGCAACACCAGCGCATCTCTACACTTCATTGGGAATATGGGGCCCTCTATATATGCCAACAGTGTCTATACATTTCAGTAGTTGGCCGTACATTTTAAAGATGATGAGTTCTAACATGCAATAGCTGCCATATTGCCAAAACACCAGTGTGAAGCTGCATTTACAAATGTCTTTGTGGTTACACCCTGTTTAGCCAAGATTAAGCACCTTAAGAATTGTAAAGACAACCATTTTCTAGCCAGCCAATAGAGGAAGAGTTCAGAAAATAAGCCCAAATCACTGAAAGATGAGTTCTGAGGTTGAGAAACAGATGTAGCAAACTAAACCTCAGAAGACAAGAGAAACCACATACTCAGGTTGCATCCCATGCAAAGCCCGTAAGGCAACTTCAGACCAAAGAGACTGGTGGAGGGGCTGACTGTAGAGCCTCAATAATTTTATAATTTCCTACCCATTACAGTAAATCCTACCCATCCAGTAATAAGACTGTTTCTTAAATCAGAACCATGTTCTTAATTTTTTGCCTTTTTGTAATGTACAGCATGCCATCTTTTTTTCTTGCCACAAGAAAGTGTCATTCTGTAATAAAGCAGGTGGGATTTGGGGTCAATATCTATAGAGCTCAATATCTATAGAGACGTTAGTCCAACTCATTTGTGTCATATTTTTCCCAGAAAGATTGTTTGTGGAATACATTCCTTTGTCTGGGTCCTCATATGTCTTATTTTCATAGTATCAAAGGGCACTGATGTCTCTTAGTAGGTAAACTACGCCAACAAATCTTTCTCTGCTTACAGAAGCGATGATGTCAGTAGCAGCCATCCTGCGTAATGGGGAGAGAGGAAGAAAGGCATTTTCTACAGCCTCCCTAGGAAATACTTAGTTTAAAAACTTAGAAGACCAGTTTATCTAGATAAGAAATGTGTATTGTTATTTATGGTCTTGGTCCCATGCTCAGAATGCCAAATATGCATCTATCAGATATTTCTAAACACAGAAATTCACTGTATTTATGAATGTACAGATACAAATGAAATGAAGTCTGATGGCAGAGACATACCACATGAAGACACTGGATTGAGGGGCAACTGAAAGCGATCTTACTACTTTTTGGGACAGGAAATTAATTGGTCAAACACAGGAGAGAAATTCTAGTACAAATTTAACAAATTAATTTCCCTCAAAGGTAGAGAGTCATTTTAATAGCTGGAGGGCAGATAAGTATCTCTCTCAGGACTAAGTCAGAAGAAAATACATTTATGAGAAAGGAATAAAGCATCTCCAGAACCTATGAAGTTTTGCAAAAAGTCAGACTACCTATGCAAATTAGGTTAGAATAGCTGCAAAAAATTAGTCTGCCCTAAAAGGAGAAGATTCACTTTGTTAAATGCAACTCGGAACACAGGCTGTGCAAGAGGAAAAAGACCCCAATTTAATGTTTATATCTGGAAAACCTGTAGAGCAAGTTGGTTAAAAAAGGGAAAGACGGGTATCCTTCGGACTGTATCAAACAAAAGCAGATTGAAATGTAGCTTTCTTTTCCATTTCTTCACCTACATTTTTGCCAACACGCTGTCTGCTGAGACACAGCAAATCATCTGCGTTGCACTTCCAACTGACTGGAGCACCTTCGAGGCGCAGCTTCTGGGAAGGACCGGACAAACCTCACCCAGATGGGGAAATCCCGAGGCTGGTGCCTGCAGAGTCCCAGGCCCTCAGCAGGGCAGTGGTGGCCGCGGCCCCAGCGGTTCCTCCAGACTGGCCACACCGTCAAGGCAGAGCCACACCAAGGGGCTTGGATCCAGCACTCAATGGAGTGTCTCTATTTAGTCACTTTTTCCTCTGGAGGCAAAAATTTCACTGGGTGGCCACAGGACGCCCTAATCACTAGAGGAAACCCAGGAAAATGTTCTGAGCACACCCTATGCATACCAACAAAGGCAGCCTTTGGGCTGTTAGGGAGAGTACTATTCTGTGACCGCTGACAGACAGTTTTCACTGTTCCGTTTACACTTCAGCTGTTTTCCTTTGGCTTACTAACATGTCCAAAGAGGGTGCAATATCTACAGCTCAGAAAGCTTGAATGTTCCAGTAAGTCAGTCATAAAGTTTGCTTTATCATTTTCACCTCCGCAGCTTTACCATGAACACCTACCTCTTTGTGTATGACTTAATGCAATTCTGTGGACATTCCTGGATATTTACAAATATGATCATCAGGTTCATGTCATTTGGAAAAGGTAGGATCCCTTCTATATTCTCCTTAAACAGCGGCGGTGACACACAGAAATATCAAATTAGAGACAAAGTTAGGATTCTGAATAGGTGTACATCCAATACCAGGGGCTGTAATTTCAATTAGAAAAACATTGTTTCTTCCGTTATAAAGGATGAACAAATTACTGGTACTTACATTCTTCCTGTATCACGTTAGGAATGAAGTTTTGTTTTGCTAATAAGCTTTACTATTCAGCAGCATACTAGACTAAGACATAGACCTAAATGTGAACAGATCCAGTCGTTATAGTGAATATTAATCTTACTGATGCCACTAGGAGGGAATATATTTGTGGTTACTGCACATGGTTCTCTATTTTCAAAAACATTACAACACAATTCACTTTCCATTGTGCCTGGGGTTAAGGCACAAAAGTAGAAAACTAGTGATTTGTAATGGTGGAGAGCTGCAGGCACACAATATACCAACTTTGTGGTCTACTTGGTTTAGGAAGTACCATGGATTCAGATACAGGCAGGAACTCAACATCTCCTCGTGTTTAGACATTCCTTGTACATTTCCTCATCTTTAGAAATACCCTAAGGTAGTATCTCTAAGCCAGCATGTCCCGCATAGCGTTTGCCAGTGCATTAAGTGTTGGTGATCCATTCTTTTCAGTGTCCTGCCTCTGTGTCAGAGCCACACACAGAGTGGATTGCCTCCTCCCCTCCCCCAAAGCTTTGCTTCTGCTACCCAAAAGTTTGGTAGAGTGTGAACTTTATTTCTTGTCCTCTCCAGTGGCCAAAGGGCAAGGGCAAACCCAGCAGTTTGTCCAAACTTTTACTATATAACCGCCCTCTAATTTTCCTTTTTTCTTTGTCTGTAGATTCGTTGGCTGACACATTTTACTCCATAGGGCTTGTAATGCGCCTTTGCCAGTTGTTATCGATATTGGAGATCCTACACATCCTCATTGGCATTGATAAAAGCCGTCTGTTCCCCAGGTTTTTGCAGGTAAGCCCATTTCTCAAGACCCTCTTTCCACAACCTACACTCTTCATCCATGGCTGACTCTGGGTACAAACCCAGGCTGAACTACCCCAAATGCCCCACTTGCACCCTTCCTCGGGGAGCTTGATCTGCTAATGGTTTGCTAATGGCAGGAACTGAGCCCTCAGAACTGTGTTGAGAAAGAGCTGCTCTCTCAAACTTTTCTTTTTGAGTGAAACTGAATAGGGAGTGCCCCATGCCCACCCCACAACAGCAGGGACCTGGACAACAGGGGCTGAGGGAGCTGGGGTTGTTCAGCCTGGAGAAAAGGAGGCTAAGGGGAGAGCTTATCACTCTCTACAACTACCCAAAAGGAGACTGTAGAGAGGTGGGGGTCGGTCTCTTCTCCCAAGTCACAGGCAACAGGGCAAGAGGAAATGGCCCCAAGTTGCGCCAGGGGAGGTTCAGATTGGATATTAGGAAAAATTTTAACACTGAAAGGGTTATTAAGCATTGGAATGGGCTGCCCAGGGAAGTGGTTGAGACACCATCCCTGGAGGTATTTAGAAGATGGGTAGATATAGTGCTTAGAGACATGGTTTAGCCATAGTTTTTATCAGAGTTAGGTTGATGCTTGGACTAGATGATCTGAAAGGTCCCTTCCAGCCTAGACAATTCTAGGATACTATGATATCCAGAGGACTGGCCATCTGCAGGAATGGGGCAGCTACCACTTCTAGGCCACCATAAGTGGCTGAGGATAGTAGCTTCCCAGCCAACTTGTTTACAGCCAGAAGACAACATCTTAGAGCCTAAGTTTCAGTAGCTAATTCTTTTCTGTGCCTTTTCCTCACTGACAAGTGCATATTTATTTTGTAAACAAGTACAAGACAAGATTTTGTGGGGTAGCGAAGGGATTGCAGTGAGAAAACCATCAGCAAATCTAGTCTCCTGAAACAGGTCATGGAGTGTGGAAGGAAAAGAATTGCTTAAGAAAGAGAAATTAAGAATTTATGGTGGGAGAAGAAAGAAGAACTAATGGTGGGAGCAGAAAGAATGGAAAATTGTCATATTCTTGCTGTAAGGGTCTCCTGCGCTCTCAAACCCAGACGTGGGCAAACTGCAGCAACATTGAGAGATTCTGATACTGTTAAGGGGTTTACAGGGTGTATGTTCAGCTGTAGGCAGAAAACGAGCCTGAAGATCACATGCTATAGCAGAAAACAAGTCTCTGTCATTTTCTTTACCACACTCTTGTTTTCTGTTGGGAGTTAATCTCTGGTTTTGGTATTTTTCTTAATGCATTGGAAAAAGTAAAAATGTTGAGTTTACCTTCAAACCTTTCCAATGCTTAGTATTTGAATAATGGTGAAACTGGTCTTGCTCTCAGCAGTAAGAACATAGAGGACTAAGAGTAGTAAGTTATGTTATTAGTTTTCTGGATAGCCCATTTTTGTCAAATGACATATTGCATGGGTGACGATGTTCCTCTTTTAAAATCTTCACTAGAAATTGATTGACTAATACAGATCTCTCTCATTTAAGCTGCTCACTAAGTGTGATAGCAAATTTGTCAAAATGCAATTAGCTGTTTTTTCCTGACTAAATCTACATGCTTTTACACTAATCTAGGGGGGAAAAAAAAGTATCCTATCTAATGTGTCCTGTAACAAATCTGACATCACTTCTTGGAGAGAAAAGCAGCCTGCTAATGCCAATAGTCATTAAATCACGGCCTGCCCTGGCAGAGTTTACACATTCCCCAGCCCTGACATAGTCCATTCCTTTCCAGCCAAGCCCTACAGAAGCAGAGATCATGGAAGCCTGCACAAACAACACTCTGTGTTGCCTCTCAGCCTGGAAAAGAGAAGGCTCTGGGGAGACCTTATAGCAGCCTTCCAGTACCTGAAGGAGGCCTACAGGGACTCCTTATCAGGGAGTGGAGCGATAGGACGAGGGGTAACAGTTTTAAACTGAAAGAAGGGAGATTTAGATTAGATATTAGGAAAAAATTATTTACTGTAAGGGTGGTGAGGCACTGGAACAGGTTGCCTACCGAAGCTGTGGATGCCCCATCCCTGGAAGTGCTCAAGACGATGGGGCTTTGAGCAACCTGGTCTGGTGGGAGGTGTCCCTGCCCATGGCAGGGGGGTTGGAACTCGATGATCTTGAAGGTCCCTTGCAACCCTAACTATTCTGATTCTATGAAAATACACTAGATATGAAATGGATATTCTGAGCAAGAAAACTTTGATCTTTCTTGGGCAGTGCAATTACCTCAGTGCTCTCCGGGGCACTGAATGGTGGGTCAGGGAACAATACAGCACTGTGACTCCAAACATTTGTCTCACAACAAAGATAGCTTTGGATCCTTACTTGGTTCTTTCCCCAGGTGTTCTCTCACCACAAAGACAGCTCTCTTGCCGTGATGTTAGCATTATTATCATGCTGTCCAAGCAAGGTGTACAAGCTCTTTCGTGTAGACTGTGCTTTTGCTTGGGTTGCCCTGATGAGAGAGTGCTGTGAGAGCACCGTTAAGCACTTTTGTGCCAACAGTACTGCCATGTGCCTTGCCACACTTTCATGCCTGCCTCTCAGGAGAAAAACATTAAAAATACCCATTTTCCGCAATGAACTGGGGAAGGACAGTTACAGCTTACCTTACTGCCCATAGCCATGGCACTGGTAAAGCTGCAAGAATTTGACAGGGGTTGCCCTATTCTGCATTCCCACCACCTGTTCTGATTCTAGGATTAAACATGTCCCTAGATGCATCCCTCAGGCCGTGCACACACATGCATATCCACAAGTGAAGTTCATCTTGCAGGTGGTCTCTAGGATGAGAGAAGAGGTGACTCGGGCAACGTCAGGGAAGCACGGGGGTGGAGGTAATGCCACCTCAAACAAAACAACCTGTGAAAGCATCCCTGAGGTGGCTGGTGATTTTGTAGGCATTACAGCAGAGAAAGGATTTAAGCAGAGTTTGGATGAAGGATTTCTGCCTAATATCCCATTTATTGTGTTTTAGTAGCATTTACAAGGAACCTTTGAGATACACGTTACAGATAATGGAAAAGCAAATTCAGAAGTGTTTTCTGGAAAAAACAGGATGGCCTCATTGAGGGATAAAGTCTCAGACCACGAGACACCTGAAAAGAGTTAGGCAGGCTAAGGCCAAGTCACACCATGAAAGGAAGGTGAGTCCTGTGTGGTAGATAGAGTGGAGGAAGAGAAGACAAGGGAGGGTCACAAAGCTGGTGCAAAGGGATGTCTGTTGGAGCTTTTGCAGCTTCCATGATTGAGAGGAGGACAGGAGAACATGTCACATGTCATTGCAGTTTTCAAAACAAAGGATAATGAAACGTAGGAGTCTGGCCAGGGACACAATAGGAAAGGTGTAAGAAAAAAACTGGCATTTTTGTGAACAAAACACCAGTTCTTCAACCTGTGCAAACAGAATTGGATTTATCACACCAAAGACAACACAATATGGCTTTGTGATAAAATAATTAATTTTAAACTTAATCTAAATATTTAATAGCTTTTTCTTGCTTTCAAAAAACATTCACTAAATTGAATTGCTATGTAAGAGATTCAGATACCAAGTATGAAACTGCACAGTCACGGTTATTAAAAAATGGAAGTGAATGTGCTGCCTGTTCCTGCCCTAACCCCAGCTAGTCTAACTTGCTCTTTTTCACTTACTTGCCTCAAATGCCCAAGCTGCCTTGTGGAAATTTATGTCATTCTACAGAACTTGTTGTGTCTTGTGACAGACCAGTGCTGGGAGAGGAAGGAAATTCCAGTTTGATCTTAACATAAAGAACAAGAAGGAATGAAAAATGAAACCATTGTATTTATGCTTTGTGTTGTGTCAGTACATACTTCCTTTTTATGAACATGAAAACACAGGACTTCTAGTTTTGACTTTTTTTTTTTTTAAAAAGAGAGTAGTAACAGAGAATACCGTATTTTCATTCATGCAAGGACAGATGATCCACAGAAGAAACGAGCTGTGGCTGAGTAGCAGCTCATGCTTTTTATATGTATGTGTATATATGTATGTGTGGATACACATGTATACATATGCATACCTGTATATGTGTATATTGATATACGTACATGATTCCATGTATACAGGTATACAGACCTGTGTGTATAGACCGTACCAACACACATTTACTGGAGTCTCCTCTTCAAGTAGCTCCCTGTCTTGTCACTTGCTGGAAATGTCCCCAGCCTCTGACTAACCCCTGCATCTACCTTCCATTTGTGAGGGTTACCTAAAGGTAAGAGTGCTGTGAAAGAAAAGAGCACAATGTCTCGAATGGGGGAGTAAAGGCAAGCAGGCAGGCAACCTCCCAATTTACACAGAAATGAGGGAGGCAGGGTGCCACTGTCTACCCTCATGAGGACATCACAACTGCCTTGACAGCCAGGCCTCTGTCCTGCCCCACAGATGTGACCCAGAGCAAAGCCACCATCCAGAACAAAAATCCAGAGCAAAAGCAAAGGTTTTCAGATTCGGCCTCTGGTGGCTGCTTTGTGCATCCCACCGCTTGCTGGCTGAGGCTGCAGTCCAACCAGAACAGAAGACCTACAGGGGATCTGCTTTGTGTCAGGTCCAGTTCCCTGCTCTTACACAGTCTCATCACTGATTCCCATTGTCTGCAACTAGTGAGGCCGAGTGCCTCCCCTTCCCACACATGAATCCCCCCATGGAGGAAACCTGTTGAGCCCCAGCTGGGTGATCCTCACCTGCCTGTGCCCTGGGGAGCAAAGGAAATCCACAGCCTCTTTCACTCCCAGACTCTATAGTTAAATTTTGAGTCTGCATGGCCACTCTCTCTTGATAGCCAGGGCTCATCCTTTTGAAATAATAGCTGGCTGCCTACTGCTTATCCTTTCACCTCACTGAAATGGGATCACCTCCTGATCACTGGACCCATGCTATTTTCTCGTGCTTTCCCACTGAGCCACCTCTTGAGGAGCAAGTGACAGTTTGGAAAAACTGCCAGCTCTCACATCTGAAAACATGTCCACCTTTTTATTATCGTGATAAAGCTTTGGTCTCTAGGTGAGACAACTCCCCGAATTCTCTCTCATATTAGCAATCTTGTGGAACTCTCTCTTGACATCCCAGGGCCGGTAACAAAGGGCCCACACCAGCAATGTGGCACTCCTTTACCACTTTTCACCAAAATTATTTTAACTCAGGTTCCATTTTATTTGTTCTCTCCAGCACACAGTCTCATGCAATGCTCACACAGCTTTCACCTTTGTTTTGATTTCCCCCCTGCGATAGCTGCCCACCATCAGCTTCTCCTATTGCTGTCGTATCTGGTTTCAGATCCTGCATCAATACTCCCAGTTCCCCCATTTTCTTGCCAGGTTCCTCAGCATCAGTGTACAAACACAGGACTTGATACCTCTCACTCTCTGTTTCCTGGGCTGTCTCTGCAGAAGTCTGTCAACATCTGACCTTCTTAGAAATCAATCCTACTCTCAGGGACCAATGGGAGCAGCAGCACAAGGTGACAGTCAGGGCAGGGTGAGAGGCGGCAAAACCATTTTTTATCTGTTGTTGCCCCTCAGTGCTTTTCAAGATGAGGAACCAGATCCCTAGGGGATGGACATGCTCTTTTTCTGTATGAAAAATTGCTCACGTAATTTTGCTGAATAGTGAAGTGACGGCTGCATTATCTGACAGATGTGGTTTGCAAAAAACAGTCTGTACCCAAAATGTTCCATGCAGGAACCCATAAACATTATATATCGAAACAATCACGCAAACTTTCTGAGAGGACAACTTCTTATTTCATTTAAGGGAGGAATAAGGGGAAGGGGGAAACCAATGAAGAAGAACGATTGTGCTTATAAAAACCACCATGTTAATCCACTGTCATTTAATGACTTTTCATTGACTTCAGATCTTAAGCCATAAAATCATTACACCTAAGCTACCCTATGGAAGAGATCACAACGGGTATAGAAAAACCCAGTGAAGCTATACTGATTCATACCAACTGAATGATGCATGTTTTCTCCTTCAATGCTTTTCAAGAGAGAGTAAATCAGGGTGAGCCCGTACCGTTCTGGTAGAGTTTCACAAGCAACCATTGGCAATGCTGAATACTACAGATATGTATTTTAAAGGGCAAAGCATGGATACTGATAGGAAACTTGTCCAAGAAAGCTGCAAAAAGACATGCTTGTTTTTAATTACAATACTGGCTATAATACTGGTATTTTTTTAAGCTGGAGACACTGCCTGTTGAATCTACTTCTCTAACTTTTCATTTGTGAAGGCATTCCTTGTGGGTCGGGTAAGGTTAAACCACTAGAAAAATGTTACAAATGAGAGAAGTCCCTGCTCCCACAACTTCCGCCAGCTCATCCACAGGTTTCCTGGGCTACAAACCCAAGTCATCCCCGTGGGCATGTAAACCTCCACCCTCACCACAGCCATCCACAGGTTTCCTGGGCTACAAACCCAAGTCATCCCCGTGGGCATGTAAACCTCCACCCTCTGTGGAGGGTGGAGATCTGTGATGATGTAGTTTCCAGTTCCCCGAGCCAGAGCCCAGTGGGGCCTCAAACAAAAGCAGGGCAAGCAGGGAAACATTCACTGGAGCATCTGTCTAGAGCAAACCAGATTAGCTCATGGCCTCCTGTTTTGCCAAAATAACACAGAAATGAGAGCTGCAGAAGGTGCTACCTGAATTGACAATTCTCTTTTCTTTTCAGATCACTGAGAGAATAGTTGTTTTATTTGTCGTGATCAACAGTCAGGAAGAAGTTCAAGGGAAATACATTGTGTGTGTTTTATTTTTCCTTTGGAATTTGCTAGATGTGGTCAGGTAAGGAGTCAATGGCAAAACCACAAGGGGAAAATGGGTCATTCCTGTGAGCAGGACCCCACCTCCACTGTGCTGCAGGTTCATTTAATTATTCTGAAATTGGTAGAAAAGCATATTATCCATTTTAATAAAAGCTTGGACCCTATAAGTTACTTACTGATTTTTATGAAAATCCACATAGTTGAAAGACTGAGTGACTTATAGAAGTAAATTGTTGCATTAACATTTGTAGTTCAAAGGATTTGACCTCTTTAACAAAAATTTAGAAGGAAAGCACAACTGCCTCCCATGGAACAGCAATTTTTAAAACTGATTTATGATCCTATTGCTTTAATATTTTTTTTAAACACCTCACTTTGATCCAAGACTGACAGCACAGTAAGGCAGTGATGGCCAAACTTTACTAAGACATGAAAGAATATTCTGAGTAAACTGTCCTGTGGTTTCCAAAAAACCTTCTGCTGCAGAAACTGAGGATTTTGGTGTAGTAAGGCATATATCACACAGAAGGGACAGCACGCATGAGGCCAAATGGACAAGAATACAATTCAGGATTTTTATCTCCAAAACGTTGTATGGTGGAAGGTTATCAGTACCTCCCTGTGGTAAAAGTATAATGGTGAAAATGCCACATTGCTGACCTTTGCATCAATAGCTAAATTCAGTAACATTTCTCAATTTTAACTTAAGCCTCTATGGGCCTCAGGTTGTAGACTTACAGCAGGGAAGACAGAATTAAGAAGGGTTTTAACAGACATAACAACTTCTGTATGGGAGCAAAGTGTTTTAATTAATTAGTTTTCTTTCTGCTAAAACTGCTTTGAGGACTGACTAGGGAATATGGGTTTTGTCAGCAAAGAAAATACATGTTATAGAAGACATGAAAAAGGAAGGTGTCATGTAGCATTGATAAGAAAGAGTTTCTCAGCTTCAGAGTATTTAGCATAAAATACTAATTGTATGAATTATTCAGTTTATTGCTCCATCCCATTCCTTTTTGAAGCCTGTAAAGCTAAAACGGTAGAACCCAATCTCAAATGAAAAGCTTCAGTGCGGCTGGAGAGAGCCCAAGAGTATAAACAATATTGGTGGTAAAGTCCTGTCAGTGCACAATAGTCCTTTCAATGCATCATCATTCTCTATCACTGCTAAAAAATACAGTCCAGCATTATAGCAATAACAGGGGCCATTTAATAGGCAAGATACTGTGGTTTATAGCACCACATGACCAATTAAAATAATAACACATAGTGCAACTCATACAGATTTAGAATTGTTACCTGAATTGTTATTTTACAGCATCTGTGCCATGTCCTAGCGTATCAAAGGAGCTGTCATGTCTGCTAGAGTGTAGAGAAACCTATCCCATCCCTTAACCAAATAATCTTGAAGCATTACAAGTGCTTCCACATAGTTTTTCAGGGACATAAATAACCTGTGGTTTGACTCTAATGATATACTGAGAGGAAATTCTGCAAGGTTTTCTATATCTGATCTTTCCTGCTTATACCATAAACAGCACAAGGAGGTGTATAGAGAGGGAGTACCTGTTTCCTTTTTTGTATTGGGTTGAGAATATGGCTTATTATTAATAATTATTTTGTCTCCATAATAAATCATAGCCTATCAAACTCTCCTGCAGCCCAAGAATGATGCAAAATGAGTCAAAAGAATCAGTAAGAAGGGAATACAGAATTTTTCTTTAATGCTGGTTCCACCTGCCAGAAACATTTCTGGCTAACAGAGGCTTAAAAATCCTTGCTTTCTTATCTCCAGCAAGACCATAGGGCGAAAAGCTTTTCAGCTGACCAAGAATGCGATCAGACCTGTTTCTCCACTGTTCAGAAAGCTGCTGTACCACTTTTAGATCAAACTAGGTAGGCTTAGCTCACCTTCGGAGACTGGAGTCCCAGGTGTTCTGGCCTTCCAGTGAGTAACAGCCACAGCAAGAATAAAACGCTGCAACGCAAGGGAGCCCAGCTGTTTGCACCAACTACCCCTTCTGAGGTCCAGGGGAGGGGCAGCTATACTAAAGAAGATTAAGTACCTGTGATTGCCTTGCTGTTTAGCCTCCTCCAGCAATGGTTGAGCTGGTTCAGCAGTCATAAATCAGCACGTTCTCAGTCCCAAGCAATAGTCATGTCTGCCCCTCTCAGTTGTACCATCCCTATCTGACACCCATTTTCTGATGGACCAGTATGAAATCATGATGGTTTCTGAAAGACCACTGGGGCTGGAGGGCTGTATTGCTGTCCACCTGCTTCAGGTGAGCACCTCAGATGGCCCTTCCGAAACAAGAAACCATCTCCTTTCAGGCATCTATTAGAGCCTGAACAAAACTGTTGCAGTATTGCCCTGAAGTCTCCTCAGATAGGCAGCTCCAAGCTCTTCTGCAATTCCCTGGGATGTTTCAATAATATATCTTTATTTTAAAGACGTGGTCATTCCCTCTGAGCTCATCTGCTGTTCCTCGTGCTGCAGGTACACTTATAACATGTTGGCAAGGACAGGAATATACTACCTACCACTGACATGGCTCAACTTCTCACTGTGCATCCCGCTCTATCCCCTTTCTGTTCTGGCTAAAGGTAAGGAGATGGGATAAGTACCAACAACTCACTTCCTTGATCTTCTTCAATAAAATTTGATCAGTTCAACTGTCATTTGTGTTTAAGATATTTTTGTTTTGCCAAAGTAATCATAAATGGTCATGTACTTTCACATTAACCTGTATGTCCCTTTCCTCTTTTCTGTACTTTTTTCCTTAATAGGGGTTCTCTGTGGTTTGAATGTCTGGTTTGAGGGATTTTTTGTGTGGTTTTTTTTTTTTTTAACAGTATGGGAAAATGTTCATTTTTCTGGATAAAGCAGGAAAATGCCCCCAAAAAAGACACATGGATTCCCCCATTCCAGGCAATATGGTCACATTAGACAGCAAGTCCCAAAGCTGCCTTCTTCCCCACTGAGGTTGACTTCACTGTTTGAGGCAATACCTGCCAGCTTATCATACTTACACTGGGCAATGTGCCCACAGAGATCATATTAAAAGCAGTGCAACTACAGGAGTAAAAAAGCTTGTTACTGAATAGTTGATACTACTTGATAATTCCAGTATTGAGATAGCAATTAGCACCTCAGACCTATAGAACTGAACTCAAGGAGAAGACAACGCGTGCATGTGCATGGGAATGACATGGTAAATTCAGCACGTAATACATGCCATGCCTTAAAGGTAACTGATTTTTACATGAAGCTTTTTTGATGACCTTTGACCTACTTTTGACTAAAGATTTACCATGTTATTTTACAGCATTTGCAATTTATGTATCACTGCCTTATTTTGAATCCTTTGGCACATACTCCATCAAGCTACCATTTCCATTCGCCTTCTCAATCTACTTCCCCTACGTTTTGAAAATGTACCTGCTAGTGCTGTTTACAGGTAAGTGTCTCGTCCTCCTGAAAGCTGGGTCTCAACACAACTGGGATGCCTGTGGCAGCAACAATTCAGATCAGTGTCGCTCCTTCCACAAACGGTAATGTTCTGTGCCACAGCTCCTGCAGACCACTGCAGGGAAGTTCATCACCAGCTCTTTTGACTTCTGATGTCTTTCAAATACAATTAATTGAATTTGGAAGAGACACAGTGGGTGTGAGGCAACAAAAATATAAAAATTGCTTCAATGATCCTGGCCTTACAGCTAAAGTTTACTTTTAAAAAAAAAAAAAAAAAAAAAAAAATCAATCCCCATCTGATCATACTCTCATACTCTTGTTCTGTCCAACCCCTCCTCACTCATTCCTTCTTGCTGGTTTGAGAAGTTGTATCTAAATTAAGACTTTCACAGCTTGATTTTCCAAAGGGATAAAAAAAAAGCCCACCCCAAAACCTGCATGTAAATAGACTGCTGCTTCTCTTTTTTGAAAAATCTGAATTGAAGTTGGCTGTATTACAGCCACGTCTTCCTTCTGTCATTGGCTTTAAAACTAATTTGAAGGATCTCATCTTTGTGATGCAGTGTTCTCTTTGTAAGTTCATAGAACTGAGCAGGTTGCCAGATGAAGGCTCATACTGTCCCTTCTAGATGAACTGAAGACACTTTGGACGCTACTCCCTTGTTCTTAAAAGATTTTGTGTTTTGATTCAGGTATGTGCTTTATCATCCAGAACCTCTTCTCTGAAAGGAAAGCCCACCTAGGGACAAGCAACATCAAAATGAAAAGAAGCTAAGTTGATATTTTGTTTGGAAAAAAGAAATATATATTCCCAGTGGACTGCTGCACATCATAGGTTAAAAAGAATTTAGACAATGATTTTTCAATGCAAAACTCCTGTTTGCACGTACATTTTCTGGCCGTGTAGAATTTTCAGAAAAGGCAGATCTCTTCAACACACCTCAAAAATGGAGCAGTTCAAAATAACTAGTTACTTTTTAAAGTTATGACTTCAAATGGCAGGAGTTTTAATGAATATATTTTTTCTAACGTATATTACAGAAATCTCAAAAAAAAATTGAAGAGTGCCTGCACTCACAATCACACCAACAACACTTACTTTGGTTTCAATTCTTGCCTCATTAGCAACAGATATTCTGTAATGACAATAACACAATCTATAAGATTATTTTATATTAGGCAGCATGTATGTGCCCTGTATATATATATATATGCTAAATGGGCTAGAACTGGAATCTCTCCAGGAGGAGACGGAGCAGAAGCTGGAAACTTTGCAACCTATGAGATCCACATGCTGATTAGCCCCAGGCATTCACAAAGGATCCTTCAAATTCTGGCCCAACCTTCACTTCTCCAAACAAGATTCCAGAAAGTGCAGCTAAACCACAAAGGCAGGTAATCATCCACTACGTACTCAAGGGGATATTTAAGGGTCAGAAGTTAAAACTTATGACCATGTGTCTGGCAGACATGAAGAATCACTTTCATCACAATGATTTTCTTCCATGCTGAACAGCAGACAGACAAGCAAATGAAGTGCAATGTCATTACACAGTCAAGCCAAATACACTCTGTTCTTTCAAGGGAAGTGAATGACTATTAAAAGCCATGTGCAAAATTCTAGCCATTTTACTCACGTGCGTCGCTCCTCCTGCTTCTGTAGGACTATCTGTGACAATGCAACTAGAACCTGGTCTCTTCAAAAGGCTGAGAATGGAGAATCAGGACAGCAACCCAGTGGCTTGTACAGACCAAAGTGGACAAGTAACTGCCTAGAGGCCCGTCAGATGTTTCATCCATATTGATTATGACCTACATTTGAATTCAAGCAGGTGGGGGAGAAAAGTGCAGCTATTTTTTTGGGCTTGACTGAAAACCGGGGGAGGGGGGACAGAGAATAGTTGGAGAGAAGATAGTATTTCAAGGGAAAACAAACACTATTGTGATAGGAAGAAGTGAGGCTGGCCTTGATGAACTCAGTTGTTAAGAGAGGTCACCTACTATCATTTTTGTTAATTTAATATACATGGCAGACAATACCTGCAGACTATTGTGACCACTGGAGTGTTTGCAAAACCGTAAGCATCAAGGTCATATATACAATAGTACAGGGTCAACCATGGTTTGTTTGGGTTTGGTTTTTTTTTGAAAGCACTGCAAACAGAGGTAGGAATTTGGAACATTACAGAAACAGAAGCACTCCCACTTTGGACTTCCATCTGACCCAAACTGATTCAAGTGTGGACAACGTGAAGAAATGTATAGAGCAGCTGAATAGGATGGCAGCTTTGAAAAATAAGAGCTAGAAGAACACTTCACATCAAGCCGCTATATAACACACTAAAGGTGAAACATGGACATTTTTCCCTCTGGAAATGCAATCTAATCTGTTTGTCATCAAACTGCCTGGAGTTAACATACCCTGCAGGAAGAAACATGACAGACGATAAAGTATTGGGTCTATGTGGCTATGCAGCAGCTGTGAGAAAGAAGAATATGAAAAATGTGAGAGAAACAGCTCTGCAGACACCAAGTTCAGTGGGGAAAGAGAAGAGGAGGTACTCCAAACACTGCAGCAGATTCTCCTGCAGCACATGGAGAAAACAGAAAGAAGAATATGAAAAATGTGAGAGAAACAGCTCTGCAGACACCAAGTTCAGTGGGGAAAGAGAAGAGGAGGTACTCCAAACACTGCAGCAGATTCTCCTGCAGCACATAGTGGAGCAGGTTGTCCCTCTGCAGCTCTTGGAGGATGCCAGACAAGGTATCCACACTGCAGACATGGAGGACTTATGCTGCAGCAGATGGATATGCCCTGAAGGAAGCTGCAGCCCACAAAGAACCCACATGGGACCAAGTTCCTGGCAGGAAAGGTGGCCCATAAGGGACTCACAACTGGAGCAGCCTCTTCCAGATGGACTGTACCCCATGGAAAGGTCCCAAGGTAGAACAGTTCTTGAAGAGTTGCAGTCTGTGAGAAGGAATCATGTTGGAGCAGTTCATGAAGGGCTGTACCCCATGGGAGGACCCCATGCTAGAGCAGGGGAACAGTGTGAAGAGGAACAAGCAGCAGACATGAAGGTTTATGAACTGGCTGCAACCCCCATTCCCTACTCACCCCACACCACTTGGGTAGGAGGGAGGGAGGGAGGGGAGGGAAGAGGCAGAAAGTCAGGAATGAAGTTGAGCCTAGGAAGAAGGGAGAGCTGGGGGGAAGGTTTTTTTTGTTTTGTCTTTGTTTCTTACCATTCTAATCTATTGTTAACTGGCAATAAATTGCTCTTTCCTAAGTTGAGTCTGTTTTTGTGACAGTAAACGGTAAATGATCTCCTATCATGACGCATGAGCTTTCTTATAATATTTTCTCCCTGTCCTGTTGTGGAGGGAGATTGAGAGGACAAAATGGGCATCTGGCAGCCAGCCAAGGTCAAGCCTACCACAGATACTAATATTAAGCCATGTTTATTGTCTTATGTAAAATAAAAATAAAATATCAGGATGTGATACTCTCCCTTTGCATTGGTTGTTTCATCTGGCTAAAATGTTGGAGTAGGAGAAGGATTATTTAAAATTCACTATGGGGAGGACTCCCGAATCTAACCTCTGCAGGCAAAAGGCATGAAGTTAATGAAAGAAGACTTCTCCACCTCTTTCTGATGCAGAGGTAACTTGGGGCAGGCAATTAGGAGATCCAGGAAATCAGCTTTCCACCTCTGACCACAGCAGGCCACTATAACGTTAGCTTCAACTCCTTAGCTTAGTTTCTGGAAAAGATCAGGATTGGGCAGGTGAAAAGGTGCTTAAAAAGTTGCCTGAGCCTTTACACCTCTGGGAACTTAAATCTTTGTTCAAAATTTGTATCAGTCTTGAGATCCCAGCTCATCTGTATTTCCATTTAGATCAAAATATGGAATCAAAAGAAGCGTTGATCTTATATATCTACATAAACACTGGCAAAATAAAGTACTGCATAAACAAGGGTGAAGAAATATCACTACGAAACTGAAATTGAAGTGGTTAAACAATCTCTTTAGGAACTGGAGGGTATTTGACTACTACATTTGTCTGACATTTAAAAACAGTAGTTTTAGCACAGCATATGTACTCTGAGTCTGAATTCATAAATATGCATATGACACACATACACTGTGGAAAAGTGCTAAAGATAGAAAAAAAAAAATAATTATCCCTTCAGTTTGCCCACAGAACAGCTATGCTGAAGTCACAAGAACTTGTCCTACCAGTATCTCCACCGCCAGCTTCCTTTGCTGCCTTCCCACACATCTAAAATGCAGTAGCAATTAACTTGCCTACCTCAGTCCTTAGAAGTCACTGCCTCCAGACCAACACTATTTTTAAAGAGATCACCTAGAAATAAAAATAATATTCATTTTCCAGCACTAGCACAAAATGGGAGGAATAGTGTCTCCATCACAGGTTATGTGTGTACTTGCAGGTACAGCAGCCCGATAGGAATGGAACTATAGAGTGAAAGGATTCACAATGAGAACCCAACAGCCAAATTACCTGCCGTTCATAGGGTTTTACTGCAAACTAGGTCTAGTTTAGTCCTATGTGCACTGAACACAGAGTTGTAGAGTACACTGGAGCATTTAGAACAGACTATTTCAGCTGGAAGGGACCTACAATGATTATCTGATCCAACTGCCTGAACAATTCAGGGCTGACCAAGTTAAAGCATGTTATTAAGGGCATTGTCCAAATGCCCCTTAAACACTGACAGGCCTGGGCCATTGACCAGCTCTCTAGGAGCCTGTTACAGTGTTTGACCACCCCCCAGTAAAGAAATGACTCCATTATCCAACGCTGAACACAGCGGGATAATCCCCCCTTTTTGACCGGCTGGTCGTGCTGTGTTTGACGCACCCCAGGATGTGGTTTCCCCCCTTGGCTGCCAGGACACACTGCTGACTGTCATTGAGCTTAATGACAAACCAGCACCCCCAGATCCTTTCTGCAGAGCTGCTCTCCAGCCACCCCTCTCCCAATTTAAACTTGTGTCCAGAGTTACTTCATCCCAGGTGCAGAACCTGGAATTTCTTCTTGTTAAATTTCATGTAATTAATTACTGTCCAATGCTCCAACCTATCTAGATTCCTCTGTAAGGCCTCTTGTCCCTCAAGAGAGTCAGCAGCACCTTCTAGGTTGGTATCATCAGCAAACTCCCTGATGGTGCACTCAAGTCCTGCATCCTGATCATTGATAAACATACTGAACAGAACAGGCCCTAGAACTGAGTCCTGAGGAACACGACTGGTTGCTGGCCAACAGCCAGACGTAGCCCCGTTCAGTACAACCCTTTGAGCCCTGCCCTTCAGCCAGTTCTTCACCCAACACACCATGAACCTGCTCATCTCACAATCAGACAACTTGTCCAGAAGGATGCTCTGAGAGACGGTATCCAAAGCCTTACTAAAATCCAGAAAAAAATATATCCACCACCTTCCCTTCTTTCACTGGGTGGGTGATCTTGTCATAGAAAGGTATCAGATTAGACAGGATTTTCCCTTTGTGAACCCAGGTTGATTGTGCCTGATGATTGCATTGTCCTTTAAATGCCTTTCAATAGCATCCAGTATGATCTCCATATTTTTTCCCAGTAATGAGGTTAGACTAACAGGTTGGTAGTCCCCTGGGTCTTCCCTCATGTCTTTCCGGTAAATTAGAATAACATTGGCTAGCTTCCAGTCAGCAGAGACCTCCCTAGGTTCCCAAGATGTTTGGCAGATGATCAAGGGGGGTCCTGCTGTGACATCTGCTAGCTCCTTCAGTACTCTGGGATGAATCCCATCAGGCCCTGCGGACTTAGAAAGATTCACCTGATGCAACTGGTCATTTGCAATTTCAGTGTCCACACATGAAAAACCACTGCTTTTACATGTCTTCCACCTCAGAGGATTGGGGACCCCAAGGTCTATCAGTATATCCTGGTTCCGGTAGGGATGGGGTTACTTTTCCCCAGGTTCTGGCAGGGACACAGCTATTCCATCCCCAGTCCATAGCCAGGAGCTGGCCAGGGGAGCCGGCTGGAAGTCACCGCCTGGGAGCGGGTGGAGGTGTCTGGGGTCCACCACCACCATGAGCAGTGGTGCCGTAATTGTTTGTAGAGTCCACTATCAGTGTTACCGCTGTTGTTGCAACGGAGGGTAAAGGAGACAAGAACAGTTGTAAGTGGAAAGCAAACTTCAATCGTCCTGGAGCTGGAGACATAGCAGCCATTAGGATCATTGCCTTATTTCAGTGATCTTGATAAAGTTGTCGCAAAATTGACCAGCATACTACCCCTTTCAGAAACTCTACTCACATTATATACCCTCAATGTGTTGTTACTACTGCACAAAAGCATCATGTTATCACAATTAAAAAATAATGCTAATTCAGAAGTCTGTTGCACTAAAACAAATAAAGTTTATTTTTCCACTTGTTCCTACAAAACTTCCATGAGTTAAAGGAATATTTCACTTACACTTTTGAAGCTCCCAGGCATCACTTGAAACAACTCAATTAAAACAACTGGACGTGTACTTCTCATTTAGATGTAGCACAGCTCAAACCATGCTAGGCAGTTTGGAAAAGAACAACACCCCATTAGTCAAAAACAAAATACAGTTTTCATCTTATGAATCTTTGGAAGGAGGTAAAAAAATAATAAAAAACCCCACAACAATATATCCAAAACCTTCCAATAGGAAAACTCTTTGAATTGGTGGTTTTGATGCCCGAACTGTTAATAGTATACTTTCAAGTATGAACAGTTTTCTTCATTAGATAAATACAGCATGCAGCTACCACCCATAAGCTTTAGTCCACACTGCTTTCTTCTTGAACTCTGGAAAAGACCTCAAGGCCAGAAGTGTAACTGTGAAGACAAGGACAAATGACATCAATTTGTGCAGTCCAGACTGGAAAGGATATGAGAGTATTCTCCCTACTCACTTTACTAACAGAGGTAGGCATTCAGGTCTCCTCTTATTGACTCTTTTTGTGACTTATTCTCGTCTTGGCTTGACAGGTTATGAAGCTACTTCCGCTGTTCACAAGGTATACTACTCTCTACACCCCTCTGAAATTGTACTATGCCTTTCATCTGCTTTACGGCATGTCTCTTATTGAAATCGTACCACATCATCTGCTAATTACACTATCTCTTTGAAGCAACACGTAGATCAACCAACACCGCAGAAAGTTTGAATTCAATAAGCAATGATGCAAGAAGGGAGAGAGGAGGCACTGAGACGGACAGAAGCACAAAGCACAATGTTTAAGCCCTCTGTGCAAGTCACTGGTTGGAAATGTAATTCACTGATTCCTCAATACAATTTGAATTTTTTGATTCCTCAATTCTATTTACCTAAAACATCATGTGTTTAGGTAAAATCCAGTAAACAAACCAGTCACATTCTAGTCATACAGAAGGGACTTCCATGTTCTAGTACTTAAAAGCAATAAAAGAATGGAAAGCTCAAGGGAAACAATGACTCATCTCAATCAAGGCATATTGAGAATATACTGTTTATATCAGAATCCTCTGATGTAGAGAGGGGATTTTCCAACAATCCTTAGCATTTTTTCTGGT